CGAGGCAGACATAGAGGCACGGAGACAGCAGATGGCGTCTCAGCAGTGTTTTGATTAAGGAAACGGAAATAAACTACTACTGGTTTCCATAAGGTTTTCATAGTGTTTAGTCACTTTTGCTTTTGCTTCGCGATGCACGGAGATTTCCACATTGGTAGCATCTGAGACTTTAATCCACGTGGTGCGTGCTTTACAAAGGGTTTGGGATTTACAGCGTCTGAGATTAAAGGAGAAATACTGTTGTTATGAGCAGCTAGTACTGGTTGACAGACATCATGTGACTAATGTTTGGTGGTTTTCCTAATGATTTGCCCCAGGAACGGACAAAGATTTTAAAATGAGCTAATTTGCTCAAAATGTCAAAATTACAAGAGCTGTGCAACATCAACCAGGACCCAGCAAGAAGTTGCACAGAGAAGTACACAAATATCTCTGTGTACCTTCAGCTGTTATTGGTGAGTCTCTACTATACTAACTATCCAAATCATATAGTAGCTGTGGTGACACCTATGAAGAAGAATAAAGCAGGAGGGTGAGATGACACAGTGTATAACACAAGGTTCAAATAGAGAAAATAAAGGTGTCATCCTCACTTGAACATTGTAAATTTTCCTCACGTTTCTCGCTCCCTCCCCTAACACACGTCTGGTGGTGTGGTGTCTGTAGTGACATGTAGTGTCAGTGCTACCCACTGTTCTACCGTGTGGCACAAACTCAATCTATTTTCAAGCTAAAGCAGGGGTCTCCAAAACATCGACTGCGAGGAGCTCGGCACTCCGTGCCAAGGAGCTTGCCAAAGGGATAGGAAAAAAACAAAACCTTTCCTAACCTTTATAAATAACCTTAAATAGAATGCAGTCGGGTGTTTCTTTGGCCAGTAGACGGCAGCATTCTGCAGAAAAAAATGGTCAAAATGGAGGACCAACAGGGCCTTGATCACATGGATGTTCTTTGTGGACTGTCACGCTACGTCTAACACGCACAATATTGTAAATGTTCAGGCAAAGAAAGCTGACTGGGTTTGTTTGATCCAACTGAGCTACGAAAAATAAATAATAAATGTTACACAACATGAGTATAGAGATCAGCCATTTTTATTTTGTAAAATTAGCTCCCAGAGGAGACCCCTGACCTGAAGTATCCATTATTACTACAGTACTACTACTACGTGGTGAAAACTGTGGTATTCCCCAGTCAGGTCACTCCCATTACCGGCCTCTGACACCACTGCACAGCTGAATAGTCTTCCTGTCAGTAGGGACAAGTAATGAAATGCTAATTATTTATAAATTGAATAGAATGATCTGATGATCTTCACACAGGCTTTGGCACTTGGACTTGATGGGGCCAAAATCAAAGCTCGGGGTTTCTGCCTCTGATCACCAATTAGGCAATTTCCCTTCAGTCCAGACACTCAGAGTCATAGTGTGTTTGATGAACTGGAGAGAATAAATCCGCAGAGTCTCGGCGCCGGCGTGAAAGCGAGAAGTGTGTCGGATAAGTGTGAAGTCAGAAATAGACAACATATTTTTAAAAAATGGTGGTAACAAGATGTTTGGCTAACGGAGCAAGCACACTGCAGTACTGTTGGGACAGATAAGAGGAGCTGATGAACACTGAGTTGCACCACTGATACCCCAGGAAATGACAGAAAGGAACTGGGAGTGTGCACACATGAAAGAAAACGATAACAGAGAGTTTAAAAAACCCAAGATCAAAGCTAAGGCAGAGTGATTTTCCTGACTGAACCTATGCCTGAATTTTATATTATTTCATTTTGGAAAGTGTTGCCTCTGTTTGGCCTGCAGCACTTATGCAGCCTGACTATTTCACATTACTGTCTCTTAGATATGAGGGCAAATCGCCTAAAAATCTCATTTTGATGGCAAATGAGTCATGACCCATTTGCACATCAAAACAGAATCAATGTTTGAACCGGAGCCAAAAGTAGTTCATCTCCTGTTTGGGCTTGAAAATATTACCATAAAGTTCCATAAAGCATTTTTTTTTAAAGATCCCTAAACGATCATCATAAAATTAATAACTTTGAAACGGTCGTCAAGTTCTCAAAATATTATATTTAAAGACACAGATTTTTATGTTTGCGGTTAATTTAAAAAGCAGTTGAAGCCTTGAAGAATGTTGTGGGTTGACTGTGAGATTTTACATTTTCAGTCATCTCTGGTTCTCCTCAGCAGACTGCAGGCACACACTCTCCAGTCCTGAGCTATTGTGGACACAGTCTGGTTCGACAGCTTGCGTCCCCTGGTGACCTGTTTGTTCAAATATGTCCTGAGCTGATCTGACGGTGCCTTCAAGCTCACCTAGAAAAACCAGCTTCACATACACATTCATGAAGAATTCGTAGAAGCTTAGATTAAAAAAATACTTCCAATGACTTCTGATTCAACAGATCCTAAATATATGAGTGCAAAGAAACAAGCACAGAAGAATTCAACCAAAAGAGTGGGTGTTGAAACAATGAGCCAGCCGCGGAGACCTGACCGGCACTCAAAATGAAATTATCCATGAGTTAATTTGCAATTATTTAAAAGAATCTCTCCCATTTTGTTTTACTATGTCATTACTCAAAGTGATGAAAAGCCGTAAAGTTTTACTGAGGCTCGTCTCTGATTTACAGCTGCACAGACACACTGTACTGACACAAATTAAGCTCATAAGGTTAGGCTTTTTTTTCTTCCCTTGTTTGGATTCATTTGAAAAATCAGCAAAAATGTGTCCATTAATAGAAAATATCATTTGAAATTTTTACAGTAACACAGTGTTGAAACACCCTGTACTGTTTAAATATCCAAAAGATACAACACAGCATGAGAGCAACGCAGGACAGGAATAGAATATGAGCAGCAGATTTTGGACAGGAAGTGTAGCAGGCTGTCCAATGAGGGACTGGGTGTCCCACGATGTCTTTCTTCTAGTGTGGAAAAGCACGCTCTCTATTTCAACGCTCCATATAAAACTGTATTGTTGTGTTAAAAAGGATCATTGGCTGCATATTGAAATTTTTCTCATGTTCTTTTATTTTCTTTTTTCAGTAATAGAAATGGTTTAACAACGATACATTTTTTCTCTATCTTTTCTATTATGGTCGCGAGGCTAAGTTGGTTTTGTGAATTTAGTCGATCAAAGTGAAATTGACTTAACTGTGAACCGTTTGGACACTGCTTTAACCCTTGCTTTACTGAAAAATGTATCTTTTTTTTTTCTGTAAAGAACCTGGGAGTAAAAAGTCGAACATCACGGTCTCACATTGTTGCTGTTAGAACAGCCAGATCCACTCACTCTTGAGTCAAAACCGACAATCTGAGAAAACATTGTTGGAAACAATAAGTACACGGGGAAAAGGTTACTGTTGGTGAAAACAACCACAACAACAAAAAAACCCCATGAAATTCTTTTGCTGCTTGTGATGACAGCATGCTAATCATCACATCATTTCCTCAGTAATTGTACCTGTCTTTCTGTTTGCTTGATATTGGCAATTAAATACCAGTGAAATACATATTTCCTGACAGTTTGACATTTTCTGCCAATGCACTTTAGGCTGCTAAAGATTTCTGCGTCATACCATTTATTTTCGATGATTGTTATTATTGATCCACTTTGCTGACGGTTCCACTTTACTCTAAATCTGCTCGGCTACAGGCCAGCTCCCCACAGCAGAAATCTATGGGTTTTGATATTTACTTTGAAATGCAACCCCCTTTCTCACATCCCATATAGGATAAAAACGCACCATTTTATCCATAGGACAATAAAGGTTTTTAAAAAAGAAAGAAAATCTTTGTGACGCAATAGGTATCCGTTTGAAATACATCTTGCTCTAGCCTTTAAAGTGACACAAAAGACAACAACACATTTAGTTTTCCTCAATATCTTGTCCTCAATGTCAGTCCTGTGGTTTTTTGTGTCCTGTGTTCCTGCCTGGTCTGGATCACTAATGGAAGTCCACTCCACTGAACCCATCTGTCATTCCTACTGCACATCTCAAGGCTAGGCTAACTGGCTACAGCAGCATATATAATCTATTTTATTGTTCATTCAAACAGCCTGAAACTAATTTACTGAACTATAAGCAGCGGCAGATTGGGATTAAAACTATGCCTCCATCCAACCATGTCGTAATCAGAACTTTTGATTTCTGTATATTCCTCAAAAGGAAACGAACACAAAGCAGATGTATCTTTGAAATTGCTTTGGGATCAAACCGAGACTCGATGTATTTGCTAGCGTCATTTTTGTCAAACAAGGAAGGGATTACAAAGTTATAAAAGGTTAAAGGAAAGTCGGAAAAGGTGCAGAGACCTGCACAGCAGAGTGGGACACTGAGATCAGAGCCAACGGTGTGGTGAAAGCACAACTTTGTCTTAATACTTGTCAGTGAGGTCTGAGCATGTAATCAGAGTTCTCCCAGAAAGGTAGGGCTTTGTTTCCTCTGTGTCCCACTTTGTTCTCGGAGTTATCTGCCAGCACCAGGTCAGAGCTCTGCAGCTTTTCGTTCCCCTCTGCAATGAGATTTCCCAAATCCCTGAAATGAACACTTGTGCGGAGAATGAACTCTGCAGATGATTCAATACTCACTCACTGGATTTATATACAGAGCACACACCCACATGCTGACATAACAAACAGAATGTCTGTGTGGTGGAACACCTCGCTGGACAAAACAAGTTTTGTCTTTTGTTGAGCTGGCTCAGTTTGACACATATCAAAAATTATGGTTTTTCTTTTTTTTTTCTTTTTACGTAACAAAAGGAGAGAAGCTGCGCTTTGAGATTTTGCGGAGGCCGTTTTGTCTGTCAGTTGATGTGGAACATGCTGGGAGGCATTTTCACTCTCTGCAAGAAAACAGATGCATTAAAGACTATTATCCTTGATGTTTTTTGGTGGATTTTTCTGTTATTCAGATCATTCTTTTTCAACCTAATACATGTGTACTTTTGCTAATATTTCGTTTTTGTTGTGTGTTTGCGTTACAGGAGAGATCTGCGATTTCAAGATCTACGGTCAGGATGCTCCGTTTAAGGCGGTGGTGTTAAATCGAACATCAGGAGAAGGCGTCCTGAAGGCCAGCAGTCCTGTAGACTGTGAGAGCCAGAAAGAATACACCTTCATTATTCAGGCCTACGACTGCGGGTCTGGACCCAACGGTGCAGACTGGAAGAAATCCCACAAGTAAGAAACGTGTTTGTCTTATTGTCTTAGAGCCGACAATGATTTTATTTTTTATATTTTTCATTTCTACTGACAAACAAAATTGCAGGTTATTTTCTTTGTCACAATGACCTCTCTATAAGAGCATGTAATCAAAAGTAAACGGGATGGCACTTGAGCAGAGCGTGGCGTCGTTTTATTTTTATTCTCTATGTCACTGTTTGTCAGTAAGTGGCTCCTGCAAACCAAACTATGCATTATTTGTCTTTACATATTTGTAGTCCATGACTGGTGATATAAAGTGTCACTCTACGGTTGTAGCTTTATAATATTCTAGATGGAGTTTGCGACTGGAAAAGGGTTCTGAATATTTTTTCTTGTGTTTTATTCAGAATAATACCAAAAAGAAAATAAAGTTTTAAAAATGAATAAATAAGAAAAAAGCAAACTAAAAATTGAAATTATTTACACATTATTTTGATGGTAAGACGGAACTACTACTACTACTACGACTGCTACTACTACTCTAAGATGTCGGTATATAAACATGTTTTTAAAACCATAGTTTAAGAACACTTTTGCAGATTATTATAAACCACATGCAACATGTATTATTCATTTCCTTTACTAAAAACAGCTCTTTTATAAACAGTGGTTGCTGGATCCTCTGTCTAAAACCTTTACATTCAACTATCTATCTGCCACTGCAACAAACTAATGTTCTTCCAATGTGAGAAAAAAACCCTCAGAAAAGTAGCCAAGTATTATATTACCAATATTATAATTATATTACCACATATATTACCAACGACTGGCTGGAGGAGGATAAAACAAGCGCTCCTCCAACTCATCAACGACAAAAACGATGTCCTGTCTTTATCTATGCATGTGTAACACCAACTAATTAAAGGTATAATTGGACGCCCGTTTGTTTGTTTTTGTCTACAGCCACGGAAAAATGTGTGGCGCCGTGGATACCCTCCGTCTGTCCTGTTATGTTGAGATAAATGTCATTTTTTGCGATGTTGAATGAGGGGAGAGACTCTTCCTTCCCTGCATTCAGGAGCTGCTTGCAATTAAGCGCAGCAATTAGTCAATCAGTGTCACTTCTCATAAGTCCACCACGGCGCACATTCAGTGCAGGGGAGATATTCAGAGCTCATTAGGAGCATTGAGGTAAATAAAACAAGTGACAAAGACGCTTCCGCTCATTAATCCCTGTCCTGTCACTCAGGAATTATCACTCTCTTCCCACGCTGTTTATGACGGCGCCTCCTTATCATTGAGTGTAATTTTAAATCCAATTCACATTATAAACAATTATGTACAAATTGAATGAAAATGTAGATTATTGTAACTTGAGTGAGTCAGAGTCTCTGACTGATTGAGGAGTGAAGAGAGACTCTCCTTTTCTGTTGACTCAACACGATGGACAGTGATACAAACACGAGAAGAGAATGGGAAAAAGAAAGGAAAACACATTGATCTGTGGCCTTGAAGATTCTGTATGTACTTCTATTCTTTCAAAGTGCTATGGCACACCAAGTGTAGCTTGATGATAAAAATAAAAAATAGTTGGACCTGTGTTTGCAGGTTAGGGTTTTATTCCATTTTATAAAAATAAATAAATACACAGCAGTGGCAGCTGGGATGTGCAGTTCTTTTCTCGAGGCTGTTTCACTGCCACTCACCCATCAAGAGCATATATGAGTGTGTGTGTTTATATGACACATTGAACATTTCAATTCAATACATTTTTATCATTGACATTTCTGAAACTGTGATTCTGCAAAATAGAAATGCTCAGCTCAACTGTGTATATGTGTGTGTGTGTGTGTGTGTATCATTATCCCGGCATGACATTCAAAGCAGGCCTCATTAGGTTAATGCCATTAATTAACCAGATGTGCTTCTTCAGTCACTTTGTGGGTTGATAGCAGACAAGGTCGCAAATGAAGAAAACTTCATGACACGTCCAAATGATTGTTTCCTTTGCGTCACTTAGAGCAGAATGTCTCAGTCTCTGACTTGGAGGTCAGTGAGTTGTCATGGCAGAACAGCAGAAAACTACGCAAAAGGTCGGTCCTTGAAAGATCTGTTGTCGTCTCTAGCTACATTTTTTTTTATATAGCCCGTGTTCATAACTGCAGTTTGACTCTTAAGTAAGACAACGATATGCAGAAAAACATCCCAACCTTCATTCAAATAACCAAAGAGGGTCAGATAGGTTCTAAAAACGACGAATCTACGATAAATCTAGAGCTCCATCCATTCACAAAAATACACTTGTCTGAAATGAAATTACAGTTAAATCATAGAATAAACACTGTAAACTACAAAGCAGCTTGAGCAAGTTATACAGCACCATGTGGCCAGAGGTCAGAGGTCACCCCTTTAAGGATGACAGTGTCCACGTTCATGCCCGAGAAGACGGCTGGTTTAGAGAAGAGAGAAAGGAACCATCTATGTCAACAACAGTTTGATTTGGAGTTCTCCTCCCAGAGAACCTCAAACTCTCATGCAAAATAAAAACACACACACAGACTCCAAGGAGTCCCGTACTCTGAGGTGGTACCAATACCCCCCATCTACTCCCTGACCACCTCAGGTAGTTCAAACAACAACCCTCTCCGTCCCCTGATTCACACCTGGTTCCAAGTGAAAATAACACCCTGTAAATGGATCCAAAATAAACCTTTCAAAGTGAGATCTACAGTCTTTCTGGTTTCCAAACTAATCATAAGAGCCATCTGAGGAACCTGTGTGTTCTAGATTATTTATTCATTTTAAACCATACTTGTATCTGGTCTGGATATCTGGTAAATAAATATGATTTATTTGATGAATAATGACTCCACTGGTGTCAGAATAAATTATATTTTCCTTTTGGAGGGCGATGAAGTGTTGTTTATTTTCTTTCCAAGTAAAACCGCAGCTGGTTAAAGAAATCCTGTCATTCTTCATTATGGTCAGTCATCTCTAATCAAATGTCTGCCCTCTCCCTCACTCCGCTTTATTAACTACACTTTTATCCTGACGTCCTTCTCTGTTCCGCCTCCTCACTTTCTCATACTGTCTCTGCTCCTTCTTCTTCCTCCGCCCAGGGCCGTGGTCCACATCCAGGTGGATGACGTCAACGAGTTCGCCCCTGTGTTCAGGGAACCACAGTACAAGGCATCGGTAACGGAGGGGAAAATCTACGACAGCATTTTGCAGGTACTCTACAGTTCGCACACATATATACTGTATTCAGGAATTGAAGAATATAATATATTTGGGCATGTCATAAATTAAGGACGGCGACTATCCTGTTAACCAGCTCTATAAGTAGATCAGGAGCCAACAGTCGATCGTAAAGGGAGTGCTGGTGGATCATATATCACATGCTGTTAGACTTGAATCGTAGAGAGATCAATTTAGCCTGGTCATTTAAACAGCAGTTTAATAGCTGTCCTTCATTACACTGGTTCAGAATGAACATAGGTTTGAAGCACGAGCATGAATGGTTTCTGTCTGTATGTGTTGCCCTGCAGTGGACCACCCCAAACACCCACCTACATGCAACATGTATTCCTGCAAAAGAGTAAGTGGTAGATAATGGATGGACGGTTCAGAAATGTCAGCTCTGATGTTTATGAAGAGCAGAGAGCATACTATTACAGCGGGGCTGTTACTGATGTTTATGAAGAGCAGAGAGCATAATATTACAGCGGGGCAAATATTACAAACTTTAAGTAAATATGTCCTTTACATTTCTTTAATTTATACTAGATTTTCTAAAAATTAACTTTTATGGCAAACAACAAGGTTTTACAGGTGGTTTTTTTTTTTTGGTGTTGCAGGTGGAGGCCTGGGACCAGGACTGTTCACCACAGTACAGCCAAATCTGCAACTATGAAATTGTCACTCCTGGGACACCGTTTGCCATCGACCGCAATGGTGAGTGTGTTGCTCTTCAACTCTGATTGGCTGGCTCTGCAGAATAACTAGTCTATGTAAATGTCAACCTGTGTTTTGGGAGTTTTCATCTAACATTATCTATTTTTTTAATTAATTAATATATGAATTAATAATATATTTTACTACACATAGGCCACACACAAACAACTGTTACTTTGCGGACCCGGAATTGTAGCGATCGAACGTAAAAGGTCAAGCTAATAAAATTATGATTAAAGCTCTTTGCTTAAACTTTCCTGGATAAATGTGCTCTGCTGGAACCGCTGGTATTTCTCATTCAATAACAAACAGCATGCATAATGTCACGATGAAAGGACAAAGCCGTTCCCTGGATGAATGTGGCTGAACTTAGTATAAACATAAAGGGATAGACGTGTGGGAGATGGCTCTCAGATGACTCGCTTCAAGTATGAATCATGTTATGCGGAGTTATATTAAAAAAAAAAAAAGGAATGCATTTGCAGCGTAGACAGAAAAGTATATGTTGGTAATGGACACACCTGAATATGTGTTTAAGTGTTCCATCCATCCATCCATCCATCCATCCATCCATCCAGCTTTTAAAAGTGTTAATGCAGAATTCAACACATCACCTATTCCGTATAATGTTATTAATCACAGAAAACCATGCCATCAATATTGATAAAACATTATCATCTTTGCCAAGCACTAGTTTTCTCCTGTTATCTGCGCTCATACAACCTTGGCCGCTGATTAGCTGAGTACATTTTATTTTCAAACAGCTGCTCAGATCCATTCGGAGCCTAAACAATTTTACCGAGGTGTTTAATTTATTCTTTTTTCTTTTCTTCAGTAAAGACACTAGCAGAGGTTTTCTCTAGACTGATCCTCTGTTTGATACCCGCCGCCTCTCCTCGCCATTACAGCAGCCGTGTTTCTCATCAGCGACAGATCAAATGGCTACTGTACGGATTTCTCTGACATTTTCAAGCTGGCCTCTTTTATTTTCTTTCTTCACTCACTGTGGTGAAGCCGGCTTCCTCATTGTTTTGCCTCCTCTCTCCTGACTCTCTTTTCTCCTCTTCTTCTATGCTCTCTGACAGCAATTAGAGTGACAACCTTTCTGTCAGCCAAGGCCTCAGACACAAACAACAGAAATAGATGCACTTGTCCTTGTGGAGGTCCAAAGACAGATTGTGATGGTAGAGTGTAAATAACAGACACATTCAAAATTGGATGCACTCAGCACTTTTCTCTATCAACGCTGATGAATGACATTTATTCAGTGAAGACATTTGACTTAACTAGCCCTGGGTTTTATTTTTTCCCATCTGACTTTGCTACTAAAAAAATCAAATTTCTAAAGGGATGTTCTAGGGAATGAACAGCCACTGTACTAACATAACAAGTTTCATATATTACACACTGCAGTTCTTTTCCTTTAAGACATTCATTCAAAAGGAAAAGTTAAATTGTTAATATAAACTAGATGCTAATATTTATTACCAGATTTTTAAAGATCGTGATGAATAACAGTTTTCGAATTTGTGGTAGTAAAAAATAAAAACGTTACATCAAAGTCCTTTGTCATGATCAGTGACCGGCTGCGAGATTTAGTGCAGGGCAGTAATGGGGAACCTTGTTATTTTAAAGTGTAATATTACCACCTTCAGTGAGTAGTCATTTGACTTATTTTCCTGCAGATCATAATGGTAGTAATAAGTGAACTGTGGTTCAGATTTATTCCAAAGTTTTAAAGTTAAAAAGCCAAATTGTTATGTTATCAACTTTATTAAATTTGACCCAAGTGAAAAAAAGTCCAAGTCTCATTGTAATACAGGACGAGGGGAAACTAATAGTTAGTAGTTCTGGAAGAATTCATATTACGTAGTGAATCTGTCCCCGTCTCAGCTCTTAGTCTGATGTCATCTGTGTCCAAGCATCAAAAGGCTTTTAACTTCCAAGGTTCCACATTTATATATTTATGAAGTATTTTTATCCAGACTAAATTTAAGGTTGACTAGAATTCCCCCTTAGAGTACAGCAATGTAGTACTTGGTAGTAAGGCCAAGTTCTGGTGTTCTTTGCAAACTTTCTTTTGAGTACTTTGAGTACTACCAGATGAATTTAACGGTACTGCGGACAATAAGTGTTAATCAGTACCTGACAGTTATCACTGTTGTGCCCTGGAGGGAACTCAAACTTTGAGAAATCTTTGTCCTTGAGACAACGTAGTATTCATCCCTGAGAAAAGTACTGTGTACATTGAGTTTTTGACATTTACTGTAAAAAAACAAAAACAAAAACACATTGGATGAATAAATATTTATCTCAGAACCTTGAGAATAAAACCTCAGAGAAACCTTCAAACATGGCAACCGCCTTTCACTTCCGCACAGTAAATAATATCTTTTTAGAAATCATTCAGCTGTTGTTTTTCTCACACTCACTCTCATCAAACACACTTTTGCAAAGAAGCTTTAAAGGAAAAGTAAAACGAATTCAATTGAAGCATCCTGGAAATTATCCCTAAATACTTTTCCACAAGGTGGCAGCAGATTGCAATTAAAAAAAAGAGAAAAAATCTTTGTGTTTGTCTTTATTTAATTCCTGCAAGTGTATCAGTGTTGTGTTCAACTAAACAAGCCCAAGTGAACTAACTAACTTTGTGACTATGTATAATGTGTTGTGGCTCAAATGAGGTTAGGAAACTCCAGATGAAGTATTAGTATTTCATTTTTAATGCAAGCAAAGCTGGGTAAAGATGTCTGTTAAAGATGTTCATTGAAAACTACATAGAACAGGAGGGAAAAAAGTCAGAGAGGAGTCAGGGGACCCTTAAATAACTACTCAGACTCTAATGACTGGCTGAGCTCAGTATGGAAATGATGTGTCTGAGGTGGGAGTAGAATCCTGTGTGGATGCTTCAGTGCATCTGTATCTGTGAATCTTGTGAGAGTAGAAGAACCTTAGAAAAAGAAAAAAAAAAGCAGCGTGTGTGAAATTTTTTAATAGAAAACCTCAGGCAGCCGGCAGCAGAACTGGGCCTGGATGGTCCTTCTCTTTTCCAGCAGAACACTGACTGGTTAGCCGCAGAGACTCTCCAGAAGGCCACTGACTGTTACCTGCTGACGTCAACCCCAGAGAAAAACCAGAAGGATCTAAAAACTGGGGTGCATGCTGGAAAACCATCAAATGTGGAACCAGATAACTCCTGTCGGTTACTCAGCAACAGACGATGAATGCTGATGATTTTGACCCAAATTCAGAAAACATTTCTTTATACTTGCCCTATTATTCTCCAAGATTAGTGGAAAATGTCACAGTATACTTCAGTTTTTCTAAAAGAGCAGCTTTTCTTCTGGTGAATTCAGCCAGTTATAACGCCACAGCACATGTTTTTCTAATGTTAGTCTCACATCTGTCATTTTTTTTTTTTTTTTTTTTTACTTTTAGGTAACATTAGGAACACGGAGCGGCTGAGCTTCGACAAGCAGCAGAGCTACAAGATTATGGTGACAGCCTTCGACTGTGGTCAGAAGAGAGCCAAAGAGGATGTGGCCGTGCATATCGTCGTCAAGCCCGTCTGCAAACCTGGATGGCAAGGTCAGAGATAATGGAATAGGTGTCGCCAATTTACCTTGACGTACCTGATTGAAATACATTTATTTCTATGTTAGTGTAACATGCAGTGGCAGGTCGTTTAAAAGTGCTTAAACGTTAAATATTACCACTAAAATGGAAGCAGGCATGCGGGTGGAGTTTGGAGCAGATCCTTTCCCTGAAGGAAACACTTTCATTTTTGAGTGAATGTCCCTGGAGGAAATCAGAAGACCTGACAAAAATCTCCAGAGGGAAAAAGCGAATGTGTATATGTATATATAATTTTTTTTCCCCCTCTTCCACTCATAACATGCCAGCAGCTTGGCATTCAAGCCGGTCCGTCTCCCCTGCCGCTTCACCTGTCAGCACTGACAGCATCTCAGGAGTCAAGAATGAAAGTGGGAGACAGCGAAAGATAAGAGGAGTGCAGGAGAGGAGACGGGAGAGTGGAGAAACGGGTGAGGGAGAGCAGATAAAGAAAGAGGCCAAATGAACAGACATCTCAGTGGAAGGAAGAGAGAAAACAAAGTTACACTGAAGAATAGAGGTGATGTTCATCTTGACATCAACCAGGGATGTGAACGGATATAAATGGACTCGTCCAATTACAGTTGAATGCTGATTGGTCAGATGAGAGTAGGAACTTCAAAGTAACACAATCGATACAGTATATGGCGTTGATGAACACATGAACATTTCAAATATTTACAGGGTTGACAGTGTGTTTGAGACTACTGGTTGAAATGCAGCCCTAACCCTAACTCTAATGTTTTACTGCCAAATTTAAGCAAAACAATGACCACAGTTCCACTCCGCAACATCTTTAAGCAAATACGTATTCATGACAAGTGACGACGACTTTCACGGTTTATCCTCTGAAACAGTGTTGGCTCCTTCTTTTGACAGAAAATCTAAACACCGTTTCAGTCCTGTGTGCATGTATTCAGGGCCATGGTATAAGGCATATGATATCCTGATGTAACAGTCAGACATCCTTCCTGTTTGATGATGAAATCAAACAAATGTGCTTTAAAAAAAAAAAGATATTCTGGTCGAAAGAAAGTCCTCACATGTTCAAACCTACACCGTGATGATAGACAAGGTCCAGATCCCACTGAGACCGTGTATTGGAAATGTCATGAATACAAGCAGCTTTGGGGAGGACACTCATTTAAAGGGAAATGTCAGTACACACAGCGGTGGGACGCAGAAACAGACAGAAATAGTAAAGTGGCGTTGAGAAAATTGGTCTGAAATGACCTCGTACTTTATATAAATGTCAACGTCATTAAGAGATACAGTTGAATGAGCACAACATACAAAATGAGAATTTTAAAAATGGGTTTATAAATGGTAAAAAAACAACAAAGTTTAAATTCTACTTTTAGGGAAACAAATACTACTATGTGTCGGGCAGTTTCATAATCAATTCCAGCTCAGCAACAACAACAAAAAAAAAACAAAAACGTGCGTACTATCAAACCCCGGTAAGATCTTCATTAATGTTGCATGATAGTTTGCAGTTTGACTCATAAAAGAAGGCCAAGCTGCATAATCCACTTGTAAAACCATTAACCCGCGGTAGCTCAGAGCCATGAATAAAACATGATGCACTGACGCACAGAAATATCAAGTCCACACATTAGCTTATTTATCATCTGTGTGTAAAGGTCAGCTGTGACTCCATTGGCTGACACTTTTTTTAAAGGTTTCTGAGCATCAATGGAGGCTATTATGTCTCACCCCACCTGATTTCTCCCCCTTTATAATCACAATTTATTTTCCCTTTTAGTGCGTCTTAAAATATTCCACTAGTGCGATTCTCTCTTCTGAATGTTGGTGGAGAAGATCAGAGACGGTTTAAAGGAGCTGTGCCCTGTGTTTGTTGATTTTGAGAAACTTAGATTTAATATTTAATGTTTGTGAGTGAGTAGTGTGGGTCTACTGTTTCTAGTGTGATTACTACCAATTGGTCTGAGTTTCTATCGAACCTGAAAGACAACAAGGCAATGGTGAAATGTGCAGTCAGAGTGCCAGATAGGTTCAGGAGACGGTTGGAGCCACATACACCAGGGACCAGCTCTGAGCCCTCTCTGGTTTGCAGCAGTGACACAGAGGTTAACAGACAAGTTCAGGCAGCAGCGTCTGTAGAAAACAGTGTTTGAGGACGATATTACAATCAGCGGTGCGAGTGGGGGGTAAGTGCAAAATAACTGGGAAAAATGTAGGTCACTGATGCGGAGAAAAGGAGTGACGTTGATGTGGAAGTTAGACAGAATCCATGTGGGAATAAGTGTGTCAGAGGCGGAGCAGTGAGGCAGCGAGCAGTCAAAGTAATGATTGTGGAAGGAAGTTTCCGTACCCGAGGTCAACCATTCACAGTGACAGACAGCACAAAAAGGAGGTGAAATAGAGGGTGGAACGGATGGAGACGGGTGTCAGGGATGATGTGGGATACATGAATAATCACAACACTGAAAGGGAAGTTCTCTCAGAAAGATGGAGGCAGATGATTGGCTGTGAGACCCCCGCAGGAGGTCGGGGGGTGCAGCCTAAACAGAGGGAAGAGAATGTGTGTTGTTCCAACTGCACACCAACATACACATCCATACATGAAAGAGGAGTGGAAGCGTATGCACTGGCACACTTCCTCTGACACAATCACGCTCATGAATCCCCTTCACCTCCAGAATCAGCGTCTCGCACACACACACCGAGGATGAAGATAAGACCTGAAAATGTAACACCAGCCCCTGGGCTGTGACAGCTACAAGGAAAGGGAGCGCCCCATTCTACCAGGCCTGTCATGTTACCGTGCCATTTCACTCCGCTTTTCACTTGTCACAGGGCAGGATTACAACCAGACAAATACACAGACTCCCAGGTTTGCCAAACCTGTGTGTCAACATGTAGAAGAGCGTGATAATACTGCTCCGTGGTTACAGGTTAGACTACAATGCATCCAAAATATGCAAACTGGGGATTAAAGGTAGGGGCCACTTCTGGTCAGTGAACTCACCACATTCGGCCCACAACTACATGTCAATATTTTTTTTGCTTCAAAATTCCACTACAAAACTTAATTCCTAAAAATGTATATGTTCACCAAAATGGGGAAATAAAATAACAAATCCATTTTTTATTTCCACTGTGGAACAATTTAAAAAATATTCAAAATTAAATTCATTTGACCTGATATGCGCCCCCTAATATAACTCTGTCCACTCCAAGGGGGACCCGCTCCCCACTTTAGCAACCACTGTCTTGAGTAGTATATTAGAGGGAGCACAATTAGAGTCTGATGCACTTTAATTTACAAATATAATAAAAACCTATAAACCTGCAGCTGATCTTGGATCGTCTGCTCAGTTAGTTAACGTCAGGACAGTCTTTGCATCACACCTCTCTCTGCCTCTTCATATTTTCTTTCTACTCTTAAAAGAGCTGCTCACGTACAACAACAACAACCCAAAGTGGCCTCCCTGAGAAATAAAATATCCAAGATAAAATGTTGCTTTTTTATCCTGGCAGGCTGGAACAAGCGTGTGGACTATGAACCAGGAACTGGGAGCAAGCAGCTGTTTCCCAAGATGCACCTGGAAACCTGTGGTGGTCCACTGTCCGGCGTGAAGGCCATGGTGGAGCTGCAGACCAATCACATCGGGAAAGGATGTGACCGTGAAACATACTCTGAGAAGTCACTGCAAAAACTCTGTGGTAAGCACAAAAGAACGCCGGATTAGGGGTGTGAAAATTAAAAAGGAAAATCTTGTTAGAGACACGAAGTGAGTGGAGAGCTCTGAGGGAGCAAAGGGAGAGGGAAATTGATAATAATAATGAGAAGGATTTTTCATTTAAAGGGGGGAAATTACATCTTGACCTCAACCTCCGACTATGACAATAATGAGTCAGTATCCAGTGTTATGTCATAATATCTGACTGTGACTCAAGTCCAAATGTCACTTTGACTTTAAACCTGGTTTGGTTCCACCGAGGAACCAAGTGTAAATTATTTTAAAAAGTTTGTTTAAACAAACTATTGAGCGCCATTTGCACCACGTAGAAGGGCTCCTGGGTGGTCTACGTTTATGCCAGATCTGGACAACAAACTGGCCACAGCGTGGCCACATGTCAGCCAAATATTATCTAAAAGAACAGCAGTACTCCAACGTGGGTAATTCTGGGTAGCATTCAGTAAACGGATTGCCAAGAGCACAGCACGTCTGCCAGAAAAGCCTTACTTCACTTGAAGTATATTTACGCCTTTTTTTGCCATTTGGCATCAGAGTTTTTTCA